TTTATATAATATACATATAGTATATATTATAATATATATATTCATTTATAATAATTAAAATGCAATTTTGGTTCATTTAATATGATTTGATTTAGCTTTTGAATAGACTAAAAATTTATAATTGCATTAATAATTTCTACATGGAATAAAAATTTTTCATAATCTAATGATTTTTTAATAAAAATGTTAAAATTGTCTAATAATAATAAATAGAAATTCACATTAAAGAATTTTCAAAAATTTTTTTTATTAAGAATATTTATATTGTTTATTTGAACAAAAATTCAATTTCGATGAAAATATTTAAAAAAATAGAAAAATAAGAAAAATAAAAAAATTTATTTTTTCAAATAAATTAATATTTATTTCCTTTATTTTTTTTTAACATTATTTTAAATCATTTATATCTCTAACGCTTAATTATTTCAATATAAATATTCATTAATTTTTATCTATTGATGTAAATTTTAAATATTAACGATTCTAAGAAATTCGAAGGAAAAAAATTTTTATATTTTATAAATAATTCGCATTTCTTATATCATAATTTAAAAACTAAATGCTTCAAATTAACTCACACACCTAATAAATACTCGTTTTGAAAAAAGCTTAACTAGCCTGCCATTATCCAAACAAATTCAACACTAACAAACGAGGCCTAGTTCCCTAAACATAATAAAATTACAATTTCTAAAAAAGAACTACAATCTTAACATCGAATTAAACGATTCACAGAAGACGAACACATATCGCCGAATCTGAATCATTGGTAGAAAAGAAGATTGGGAAACGGTAGCCCATAAGTCTCCTTTAGATTCACGAGTTGGAAGTTGAGATATATGAATGAATTCTCTGTCAACTTTTTATCGTTGATTTCTCAAATCTTTCTATACATAAAACTGTCCCAACTCATGCGAAAGGCATATGACCTGCAATACGTTCGAATATGTCTACATCGTCATTCAAAACTAAAGAACTATTTGCTCAGAGGATAAATTATAATTTATTAAAAAATTTATTAATCTTTTTTTTTATTTTATAATTAATATAAATTTATTCGATTTCGTTTCATTATTAAATTATAAAGCTTATGAAGTGAAGTTTCTTTGATAAATATAATCAAAATATTAATATTTTGATTTTTATAATAGCATAATGTTATTGATATTTAGAAATCTACTTTAAGAATAAA